CGCATGTCCTCCTCGCGATGAAACCCTTATTGAACCGAAGCTGCTTGCCTCTCGTCTCCTCACGCCAAACAGCCCCGCAACGCTCGCCTCCCTCTCTCGATAGAAATCCAGCTCGACTCATCTACCCCCCCTGCCTCTGCACCGAGATCGATTTGTCTCCTTCCTCTGGCGCTCGACCGAAGATCGGTACTCCTCTCTACACCGAAAGCCGTCGCCCTTCTTCCTTACGTAAGAGAAGCTTTATTCGACTCCATCGCAACCCTCGCCTACTTCGACTTACTCCCGCTCGACTCACCATCTCTCGGCCGAAGGTCGGATAGGGCTCCCTCTTTTCTCTCGACAGAAGCTTGACTGCTTGCCCGCCTCCATCTTCCCCGCGATCAAAACAGTCACTTGACCTCCTCTCTTCTCTACATCAAAGAACACTCGCTTGCCTCCTCTGCTTTCTGCGCCGAAGATCCCCTCTTTAACTCTGCTTTCTGCGACGAACTTCAGCCAGGTAACCCGGTGCCTCTTTTCTATTCCCCTTCGCATACACAGAACAAAAAAAAAATAATAAATTGTTTCAAACTTCCTGTTATTTTCAGTCATCATCAAGTTAAGAATATATTGTGATTCTCTATGGGTTATGTGTTTGCTATGCTCAAATGAGGTAATAAAGTTGATGCATTCAATCTCTTTCGCGAGTAATGGCGTTTGAACATGACTTTGTGCTTTAACATCTACTTTATACTAATAGTATATATATATATATATATATATTATCAATTTTCTTTTCCTTTTTTATACATTTACACTTACACACATATTACCTTAAATCTTAGCACACATACACATATAAACTAATAACATTAACACTCACATACACTTTAACTTACAAACATGCGCACTTATATAAACACTCATACACAATATTTCCATACAAACATGCTTCCACTTTAACTTTCACATTGAACTACACTTAAACGTACACATTACGCTACACTTACACATCATACTTCCCTCTCCTGATCTCTTTATTTTTGTTTTTGAGTAAGGGTCTCAGGTTAAGGCTTAAGTGTGTTAGGGTTTAAGATTAGGATAATAGAGGGGTCGGGTTTGGTGGTCTAAGGCTCAGGTTAGCCAATCTAGGGTTTGGGTTTGGGTCCTTTAATGTTAATCCTGACTTTCTATATAGATGTAAGAAGTGATGTATGTCACTATATGTTTAATCTCCTTGATAGTTATTCAAAATTTGCAACAAAGCCAAAAACTTGATCTAAAACAAATGCTAAGTAAGTTTTTCGCTATGAAACAAATAAAAATATAATTATAATATTTAAATATGAGATACTACGCAAGTATATGTATCATTATCAAGTAATATATGACTTTTTAAATAAGCCCTGAATATCAAACCCACAGAGAGATTAACAATATATACTTTAGAAAACTAGAAAGTTTAGATCACAAAAATCTACTTAATTCATGTGCAAGCCTTTATGCAGATTTCATCCATGAAATGATTTCATTTGGAAAAACATATGATTTTTTTTTATGTCATTTCTATTGAAATTCCTATACAAATATTGATGGAATCATAAAGTTCTGATGCCCTCGTCTGGAACAGTTTGAAAGTTTTAAAGTTTGTCATCGCGAAAATATGAAAAATTTGAACAATCTTATTTATGAAGATTTTAGAGACTTACAAATGCTGTTTTGAAGCAGTTTACGTACTGTTTTGATATCTTTAAATGCAAATTTTGTGTCCCATTTAAATGTTGATTTTTGGAGGACTTTACTTGCTGTTTCAATGTTGTTTGGAGGACAATTGAATGATGTTTTGGGGTCTGTTTTGGGCTGATTTTGCTATAATTTCTAGAGTTTTAAATGTACACTTTTAGGAAGGTTTTGTCCCTGTTTTGG